AATGATTTCATCCGTATATCATTTTCAAAAACATTTTTTTATTTTGGATGATCATATCACGGCCTGCAATTAGCCGTATACTTCTGTTATCAAGCTGTTACTATTCCTGTCACTTAATGAGTCCTTTTCGGTTTGAGAAATATAAATACTCCGAAAAAAAATTAAAAAACATCACCCAAGAGTTTCATACCTCAAGAGCCATTTTTTCGCCTGCCCTCCAGTCCTGTTTGGCCTTTGCAATAGCTTTCTTCAACTCCTCATCATTCTTTTTATCTTCTTCTGTTTCAGAACTACTACTTTGTTTGCCATCTCCTCTTCCCTTTCGTCCCTCTTTCTTTTTGTTTTTCCTTTTTTTTTCTTCCTGCCTTTTCCTTTTCTTACGTATCTTCTCCCGTCGTCTGTCTTCTCTTTCTCCTGAATAATTGGACACAACAGGATAATACGGACGGTGCTTACCACTTCGAGACAGATCAAAGGTTGAAGTTAATAAAAAACATACTTCTCTCTATTTCTGTCTGGCGTTCGCTTTCGAACACTCTTTCTTTCTCAGAATCCACTTCGTCTCCGGAGCGCGTTTCATTAGATGATGACTGCCCATCCTCGTCTTCTTCTTCAACTGAAGAGAAGGATTAATATCTGAATTATGCAGTACCTTCCTTTAATTCCCTTGCCTACTAATCTTTAATGCCAAATCTTTTAGCCAAACAATTTTACAGCAAAAAAAAAGTCTGCTTAAAATCTTCAAAACAATTTTTTTATTTCAAAGAAGGGCAGTATGTACATAAGTTTAAGCCTGATCGCTTTCGCCTCTTAAAATGATTATTTAATGCACATTAACAAGCACTTCCGCTAAAACGAAAAATTACACCTATCTCCAGAAAAATCTAAAACAGAAATACAAATCTATTTTCAGAGCCCTCAAACGAACCTAGCACTTCCCAAGCTCTCTTTTAGTACCATTGAATTATAATTATCCAAAACCTTCCTGCAGTTTAAAACGTAGACTCTTCCAGATATCATTCAATAATTACACTTGGAAAAACTTTATTTCGCTCAACTGTTTTCATTAATTGCTTGTCCTGTCACATTCATGGACCTAAACTCAATCAACCTCTGACTTCCTCAATCTTGCCGTCATTCGCTTTTTAGCCTACACTGTATATCCAAATTCCGCCCCGTGAATATAGATATTTCACTAATAAAAAGCTAAAAATAAGAAAATTCACTATTCGGAAAAAACTCAGTGTTACAAAAAGCTGTAACTAAATCAAACATACCTGAAAACCAGCGAATACTAGAGAGTTACAAGAAAGACTGTGTAAGTAAAAAGTCGCAAAGAGAGGAAATAAACAACTAGAAAGAAGTAGAAAAACGTAAACTAAAAAGTTATTAGGTGTAAAAAATATCAAATTCTAACATTTCCTTTCCCCATTATCGTTTTCTTGCTTTATCGCAGCTGGGAGAACAGATGGGAGTTCTCTATTAACTTCATATCCCACTTTTCCAATGCAGTAAGAAAACTTAACAAATGAGTGACAGCAGGAATAACCCCACTGTCCGTCTCTCCAGTACGAACCCCAAACAGAAGTATGATTGTTAATGTACCTCAAAAAAAAAATAAAACAAATATACATATATATAAATGTATATAAATATAAATAAATAAAAAATATATATATATAAGAATATATATATATATATATATATATATATATATATA